AGGGCTGTCCTTTTCCTATGTGTCATCCAGTGAGAATATCTATTTTAGAATGTGGACAAGGGATGTGGCACCCATGTATGAAATGGCTAGCTCTTACAGCCAGTAAACCAAACTGCCTCAGAATAATCCCCTATTTTCAGGGGTGTAAAATCCACTTTAAACATTGACTCTGCAGTTTCAGTTCTGTACACAGAAGAATGTTTTTGTTTTCTTTGAGAAAAATTCTGCAATTGCTGTCATTTGCCTATAAGTGCATTTTTTTTCTGTATTTGGCCATTAATGTGGTGTGGAATTATTTTGGGGGTGTACAGGAGGGATTGTTTTTCCCATTAATGGGAAATTCTTAAGTACTGCTGCTTCTGTTTGGGGATTTTCTAACATTTGGAATGGCAGAACAGCAAAATTGTGCGGAAAATTCTGTTCAGGATTTACCTTGAAGCCTACGAAAACTGAAGTCCGTCCCCCAGAAAAGCCTGACCATGCTTTCTATCAGCTGTCTTATTGTCACCTTGTAACTGTGAAGAAATGCAATGGTTTCTTTTTAACAAAAAGCCTTCAGGTGTATGTCATTAGGTAGTATGGGTATGAGAGACAACCACAAAAAGCAGAGAAGCCCAGATACAAAGTAAATACTGAATGATACTTTTTTTGCTTTCTGTTTTCTTAAAAGTGGAGGAGCCTCAGTGCTAGATCTCGTGTTCTAACATTCGTGTGACACAAATGAACTGTAATTTTGCACTTAAGGAACTCGACTCATAGCATGCTTATGCCTATTAAAAAGAATCCTGAACAGCCTACCCTGTAATTTATGTAAATTTATTCCTGAGTAGTTGTGACGATTGAGTCACAAGCCTTAGCTCACAGTTTTGCAATAATGGGATTTTGAATTAAGCTAGAGCTTGATCCTTATGTTGAAAAAATACTGCTGCTACCAGTTCAAACAGTTTTGTCATCAGTAGTGATTGTCTTGTCAATACTGTAAAAGAAGTATTGGCCTCCCTCACTCCCTCAGCTTCAGTACGTTGAAAGGATTGTCCTAATGCTCTCATATTTTCTCAATGACTGTTTCCTCTCAAAAACATCATAGAATAAAACAAAAATCTGGAAGGTCAGGACAGAGAAAAGTTTCAGCTTATTTCTCATTCCCCTTCCCTGGGATGCCCTCAAGCTGAGCCTTTGTTGTTGGTTTTGCAAAATCGAGGAACATCCTTTCTTCCTCCTAAAAGCAAAGACTGTGTAAAATCAAGTTTTCATTCCTACCTTCTCACCTTGCTGCCTTTCTTTTCTTGGACAAATATGAAACGATGCGTGAAGGTTCCTGTTGACGTGCTAAGAGACATGCCTCCGAAAGGCCTGCGGCACTTAGCTGAAAGCAAGACATTCCATTGCTCTGAGAATTGCAGCTCTGCTCCTTCCTGGGGTGAGGAAAAAGGTTGTGGAGGTGAGGAAAAAAGTACTCCCCTAGCGCTCTGCCTCATGGATTGCCCATCTCAGCTAGTGGGATACCTGTAGCAAAAGTTTTCCACTCCGTTTGCAGAAACTGGAAGGCAGCGAACAAAGAAGCTTGCAAAGGGGAGCAGGATGAGCAGCCGATCCCTTCTGTTACAATTTGGCTAACGAAATTAGGCTAGTCCTTTAAGGCTGACTGTGTCATCTCAAGTGCTGTCACCCTCGGGGGTTTGGGATAAGCTGGCTTTCCTTGTTCCCTCTGCAGGCAGGTGTCGGGCGGATGTTCCAAATGAGAGCAGTGTAGTGCTGAGTAATGCAGTGACAAGTGGTGCAGGATGCCTGGCGGCATCCAGCTTCAATCTCCCAGCTGCTTCTGATGTTGACTTCTGGCTGCCCTGGTTCCCCAGCTACCAAACGGGCTAATGCTGGTTTGGGATTAGCGTGCTGTGAGGTGTCATGTGAAGCAGATGAACTTCTATGTAAAAACCAAGTCACAAAGCGAAGTGTAGGAAGTTCACAGCTGACTCTGGCTTCCCTAGGCTGCTGTCAGAGCGGTGGCTGAGTCAAGAATGAGGTGGGACTCGGGAGGAGACCCTAAAGAAGGGGCAAGAGGCCTTGTCTGAGCAACTCTGCAGCACACGGCGTTGCAGGCTGTGTGGCAGGGAAGTAGCTACAGAGCTGAGCAGGGTTCCCTCCTCACCTATCCCGTGTCCTGCAGGGCAAACAGCGCGGCGGTGGTTTAGGCTTGTAGGATACCGCAGGGACATCAGCTCCAGGTGAGGAAACGCTTTCATCTCAGCACATCCGAGCATGGGAGTGGCGGGGTGGGTGGGGAGCTGCTGCCGTAACGCAGTGCGCTGAGACTCGTGTTTTCCTTGAAGATGAAAGCTTGCAGCTGCTGTAGCTCACCACACCTCAAACTGGTTCCTCTGCTGAGACGCTGTCACTTAGCGCCGCAGCCAGTGCTGGGGGCAGGAGGCAGAGCTGCCTTGGGCTGCTGTGTTGGTGAGCTATTTCGAGGTACAAAGGGGAAGGTTTTCCCAAAGGTGCTGACTCTGTAAATCCCTCAGACATAGTGCTTTCCTGCCTGTTCCAGTCTTGGTTCCCTCGCTCTGGACTGCCAGGTGTCTGGTGCAGACACTTCCAGTTCTGGTTTCGTCCTGACTTCATTTCCAGATGCAGAACGACAGGCCTTCTCGGCATATTTCCCCTGCCTTGATTTGGGAACCAGCTGAATCACCCAGGCTGGCAGTTTAAATGGCAAAAGCCTGCCTTCGTCTGCTGGAAAACTCTGCCTAGCAATAGAAACATTTGTGAGAAGGAGGGAAAGGAAAGGTGTGTAGCAACTCTGGAAGGACAGTATTAAACAGTGCACTAAAATATTAAACACTGTACTAAGCAGTGTTTAATACAGCAAATTTCAACTTGAGTGTGCAGTAAGCAGCTGGTACAGTTTGATAATGGGCAGCTGTGATACCAGGCATCATTACCTGACTTATTCCATAAGCCTTACTCACGGAGATGTAATGACACCAATTTGCTTAAAGCACCTATGTGTGGTGCCACAGAATTTATAGCTTGTCTAGTTACCATGACAATTCAGATGATGAATTTGTTATCTTGTTATGTTATCATTGTACTACCGATTAATGCGTACAGAGGATAGAATTAGACCTTACCCAGGTTTGTGTTTGGTAGGTTATTGAAACAGGATTATCAGAGAAATGGGATTTTAGAGAACTTAACTGTAGGACGTTAGCTATCCCCTCATTATCAAAGATTTTGAAGGAGACAAACACCTCACTGTTTGAGAGGGCAGGCTGAGGCTGTAAGCCTGCTACTCCTAACCCTCTGCACCACGTCCCCCAGCAGCCAGAGGAGGTACGTAAGGAAAAGGAACAGGACAAGCCTCCCTCTTCCTAGCATCCTCCCTGCTCAGGACAGCTGAGCCTCATGTGAGCTTTTCTTCTTGCTTCTACCTCCGGCTGCTGCTGGTGTTGACATTTGCCTAGGCAGACCTTCGGTCAGCCCCAGCACAACTGTTCTTTTGTTGCTGGCCCTGGTGGGTTTTTGCTATGTACTTAAAAACATGACCCACAAAGGCAAGGCTGAGTGATCCCTGCTGAGACAGCAGCTGTAAATGAACCTTTAACGTATCTGCTTTTTATAAGCATCCATGGAAGCTACCTTTCAGCACACTTCACGTTGTGGAGTTGGTGCTGCTGCTGTGTGCTCAGAGGGGGGTTATTCTTACCTCTCCTCCTCTACCGGGGGTATTTGTGCCTGGATAACAGAAGAATTAAGTAATTCAGCTTTAAAAATTCACAGTGATCCTTCAGAAGGACAGTGCAAGGTCTTTGCCACTCAGTTTTGGCAGCTTGCAGGTTGTATCTGTACTGCCTTCCCAGAACAGCTTTAGCACGCTCCCCTGAAGCTGCAGGCCCCCAGGACGTGCTCCTGTTCCCCTACTCGCTATCTTGGCCTGACCTTTCACCGCAGTGAGTTGCTAGGGGAAGGCTCAAAAAAGGCAGAACTCACACAAACTGACTCGAAACCCTACTTCCTGCTTTTGTTTTGTGCCAAAAGCACAGCAGGAACTTTTCCTGCAAGAAAGCAGCCCTGTTGCTTTTCCTTACTTTGCTCCGTGCTGCTGTCTTCCTGTCAGGATCAAACAGAGTGGGAAAGCAGTGGTTTCCTCACACCCCGAGAACAAATCTAATCCTTCTGCAATAGGATAGCGGCGACCTGTTTATTGCACTGTAAGGACATTTAATGATTACAGATTTCATAGGTTATACTTGTAAAATTCTCTCTGAAAGTGATTACTGCATTAATCAGTGTATTTATCCTTGTCACACAGAGCCTTAAGAGTGCCTAAATAACAGCTTCGGTGATCTCGGGGCCATCTCTCTTATGACCCCCTACTATCAAAACCACAGGGGCTCCTACCACAGTTGTGGAGCTTTCTTCTATGTTGTTCCTGCAGGAGGAGGTCCAAAGTTCAGTTTTGAGGCAAACAAAATAAAAGCATCTGTACTGGGCCAGGCCAAAGTTCTTTTCAGCCAAATGCTAAATAGCCCAGTAGCCACCAAAAGCAGATACAAGAAGAGAAGAGCAGGCAAATGAGCTCAACTTGGTGCCCACCAGGATGCCCAGGTACTTTTATTGCAAAGGCAAAATGGCTTCCATGTTGTTTTCCCATTCCTTCCTAAATTTGTCTAACACTTTACTTACTTTATAGACAACCACAGAGAACTGAGCTGAAATTTCCATGAGTTTATCTGTGGTTGCCCTTGAATTCAGCTCCTAGTGTTAATGGTCAGCTCACAGCCCAACAGTGAAGCTGGACTGCTCCTCTGCTGAATGTTTCTTAAACAACTACACATCACCAGTGTCATATTGCCGTCAGGGTGCCTTACTAAATACAGTCAAACATAAAAATAAGTTTTCTGTGAAGGGCCAGCTTGATTTTCCCCATAGAACTACTGATGTTAATGCCTTTATCAGCTGTGTTCCTGGAAAGCAGCAACAAAAGCAAGGGAAAAATAAAATCTTGTATTCAGTAGTCACTCTTTTTATTAAGAAATCAGTCACCTGAGGAAGTGTACAAAACAGAGTTTGTGAGGAACCCTGTTCTATAACAGCTCTTTATAGCGCAAGTATCGTTTATGGCATGAAGTTATATATACATGTACATATAACTTAATAGGTTATATATAACTTATATAACCTGTGGGCTGGGGCTTGCAAAATCTGCCTGTTTATAGACCACAGCACTGTACACCAAATGTGGCGTGTATGCCACCATAAAGTCATGATTTAATCAGGCATGTGTGCCAACTGAATCTGTTGAGACACTCGAAATTCACTTTAATCAGAGCCCATATTTATGTATTAAGGCCAGTCTCTAAATTCCTCTGTTGTAGAATAACACCGTTTCTTCTGTAGATGACATAATTTCTGGTTCCAGGTCTGCTCGCTTTATCTGAAACGTACAGAAAAAGACAATCAACGCCACCATATCCTGGTAGCCACCTGTTAAGTCCTCATCACTGCATTGAACTTTCCACAAGCTGAAGTTATTTATTCAGTGATGAGAGTGTAAGAGATTGGAGGGTTTCTTGGTTTGGAGTTCATAGGACTTTTTTCGTCTTCTCTAACATTTTCAAACATAAGGGAAGAAATGTGTTGTATTTAAAGTTAAGAGGTACTCTGAAGATCTAAACAGAGCATTACTGTTGTTGTCTCTGTTCACTGTATTTGGGTGACTCACCCAGGAGAGCTTCTATTGACAGCTGAGCAATTGGCAAGCTCAAAAGGGGAAAAAAACAGACAAATTTGCAGTACGTAATTTCTCAACAGTCTCATCTATATCCAGGTTACCCTTGTTGCCATAAGAAATTAAGATGTCTGAAGTTTTAGGCTAGTAAGAGAAACCACTGAAAATTCTACAAGCCCTATCTATGATTTTCTGTGAATATTCAGCAGCCACCCCCCTACCCCAGTTTAGATGCACTGACTATTTCAATCCTATTGTTTTTTGTTAGCTGGCCTTAAGACCACTGGCCACAGGTACAAAATGAGTATTTAATATAACAACAATCCTAAATCAATTTTTTTTTCAAAGGACTTACCTCACCACACTGTGGGAACATACTGAGTGATGCTGGTAGCATCCCTGCTAGTACTGACGTAATGAGAAGCACTCTCACTGAAGCCAAAGCACGGGAAGTTTTTGGAAAGTTTGATCTGTCCAAGACATTGAAAAGTATGTCAGTTTAGGTTTAAAAAATAATCTGACAGTGAGAAAAAGAGTATTCATTAGCAGTCAAAACTGCAAAAAAAATAATAGCCTAGGCTTACGAATCCTAAAGATGTTTCCTTATTTCCTGTGTTTTTACTCCTAACTTCATGTTCTTTCCCCTTACTTTGAATTTAACTGCAGCATTTTGCAGATCCAAAATGAGAATATAAGATTAACAAAATAACCAGCAAGTTCAAAACAACAAAAGAAGAGAAGGTACATTAGTGTTTTGAAATGTCTCAGTCCCTGGACTAAGATTTTTCATGTACTACCCTCTTCCCTTTCAGATTCAGTTCCCCTTGGCAATCCTACCTTTCACTGTGTGAAAATTTATTACTCAATACATTTTTTAAAATGTATCTTATGTCTTCATTTATGTCTACTGATAACAGCAGACCCTTAAGCCAACAAATGCAATAGGAAATTGATTTAGGCAATGCCAAGTTACCTCTATAATTTATATAACAGACACTTCCTTCCAAAAGCTCAGGGCAGGCTAAAAAATCTCCAATACAGCATATAATGAATTCTTCTGATGATACGAAGTTTTTAAATGTTGTAAAACCAATAAAATGTTTTTATACTATAAGGAAGGTTATTTGGAAGTTGGGGTCCAGTTTTAAGTGAAGAAATTAGAAGAAATGCTCACAGCTATAGACAACCTCCTGCAAACCATCAAAACAGATGCTGACATAACCAGGTTCACTGCGTTATCTAAAGGAATCACACTACCTACAGAAACCTCGCAGATAATCATCTCTCCAAGGCAATTAATAATCACAAAACCAAGAAAAAAGTGGCAAGCAGCAACAGCCAGACCAAATATCAGAATAGCCACTGACCAGGCACCCACAGCTGCTTTGCGGTCCCCTCTTACCTTTCCACAAAGTGCATAAGGACAGCTGGCAGGAAGAATGCTGTCCCAAACAAGACTCCTCTTGATAATGCTGTTTCTTTAACGGCCTCCAGGGAAGGACAAGAAAAAAAGTCATTAAAGCAGTGCTCCGTACAGCCTCAAATACTCCCCATTTCTGTGAGCACTTTTCTGCCTAATACTCTGGAGTTCCAAGCAACAGAGAAGTGAAGAATAAGATCATTTGTTGGAGGATTTACTTCTTAAGTGAAAACTAAACTCCTACGCGTGGCAAGTACTCCATATGTGACTAAGGAGTTCCTTAAAAAGGGAGGTGGTACTAACAGTGCCAGATCAAGTGTTCCTACCACAACAATCTGGGGACTTGCTTTTTTAAAGTTGTGCTGAACTGTTTCCAACTGGACATAGCTTCTGGGCATCACACCTTCAGGGCATCCTGTGTAAATTTTAAAGTTCTCTGTCCAGCTGTTCACAGATCTTTATGCTCATCTAGCTGTTCCCTCCCCTCTAGACAGCAACACAGAACACGGGGTCACTGACAGCACGTAACATATGACTCCTTGCTGTAGTTCCTGTGGGTGTTGCTCTACAGCGGATGTTGATGAGCAGGGCAGGGAGCAAATGCAGAGCAGCCTGGTCAGCTACCGGTCAAGGATAAAATGCACCAGCACGCTGTAGCCCAGGACATTACTTTTTGGTAGGGTAACGATATTCCTGCTAGAGAAGATGCATGTGCTATTTACAACAGAGGGCTTTTCTCTGATGTGTACCATCAGAAGAAGAAACTCTAGGAGCCTCACCTCCTTCTGAGGTGAAAGGAAAGCAGAGAAGCCTGTACTAGTGTTCTTGTGGGTTATCTGCAGCACTTGGTGTATTGGCTTGGGGAAGTTGCCAGCCCTTAGAGACACAAAACAGGTATCAGACCTGGTCCAGAGACTAGTCCAAGCCCACCCAAAGATTCAGCACCTGATGTGAGATTCCTCAATTCAGTACAGCAAACAGCAACTGCTCTGAGCATAATGTTTAGCTCAAAGCAGGGAATGAAAGGCAAGTTGAGAGAGGCCTCCCCCCCTTGCCTACCTTCTCACCAGCCTTTTTTGACACTCCTAAAACCTTGCCATTCCTGTCCATCACTTCAATTCCATTCTCAAATTCTGGGCTTCTCACTGCTACCACAGTAAAGGCACTCGTCAAGCCTGCAGAATTAAAGAAGATTTTGCTTTAAAAGATCCAGTGAGACTACCCTGATAACAACATTCATAATTATGCACATTTTACATTTCCAGTTCAACAGTTCATAAATTAATAGCCTGGCAGCTTAAAGAAGGGACTGCCCCATAAAAATCTACCTGGAATCTTAATTCTCATTTTACGAACTTAAAGATTTTAAGGCACCACTCCCCAGAGGTGCTTTATCATTATGGACACTCCGAGCTTTCAATCACTGCCAGCCAGCACAAGCCATGAGTACTTTGTTCTGAAGAGAAAAGGGAGGGGGTTGTGTTGTGACTAGGTTTTGTACTGGTCACTGCAAAATCCAGCACAGGAAAGACACAGAAGGAAACAGGTCTGGGGGAAAGGCTGCATTCCCGTCTTGGTCCTCACATCATCTGTATAACGTACAGTTTCCTTTTACTCACCAAAAAGAGGAACAGGTAGAAGTTTCTTGACAACTAGTTGTGTTAATGGGCTCTTCAATGTGTATCGGTTCATGAAGATAAACGGAAGAGCCTAAGATATCGGGAGGAAGCAAGCACCATATATTAAATTAAGCACCTTCTATGTGCAATATTTCAGTATCTGCAAGAGCCTAGGAAGATAAACCTGAAACTTAGTACTTAGATACCATCTATAAAAGTTAACAAATTACTTAACATTTCAACAAAACAGACATGCTCTCTAGTTACTAAAGGTTTTTGTAATCACTCTTGTATATAAGCACATAAAATATTATGGAAAAAAAACAAATGTTATTATGTAGAGGGCAGTAGCAGTATGGATACAAAGACAGAAAAAGGAGAACAATTACTGACTAATATTCCTCAGATATCCATCTAACTGCCTTGTGACGTCCCTATCCCCAGCCAGGACACTTGGCATACTTGTGTACTCCTACCTCTGCATTTTCAGGACAATTTCATATTCCCATAATATGCTTGAGGGAAGTTTAATTCCTCTACCAGTACAGCACTGACCTAGCTCCTCAGCTGCTTAGTGCTCCTGGCAGACCAATTAACCCACATCCAGAGCAGTACTGTCATTGCCATGCTGCTTCTGCAGCCTGAGCTGTCTATATCCAGCATGGATTCTGGCAGATTCCACCAGCTGTTCAGAGCCGGACAGTGATCTGCCACAGCACTACATCCAGTAGCAACTGTAGCAACCCAGTGAGTTACTGTGTGTTTGTAAACTCTGTTCCTTTCCTCCCGCCACCCAGTTACTAAGTTTGCAGAAAAATACAGAAAAGGACATAAGAGGAAACAACAGAGGAAGCTGAGCAAGGTATTTGCAGATGGATATTCAGAAGAAATTCCTTACTCTGAGGGTGGTGAGGCACTGAACAGGCTGCCTCAAGAAGCTGTGGCTGCCACATCCCTGGAGGTGCCCAAGGCCAGGCTGGATGGGGCTTTGGGCAGCCTGAGCTGGTGGGAGGTGTCCCTGCCATGGCAGGGGTTGGAACTGGGTGGGCTTTGAAGTTCCTTCCAACCCAAACCATTCTGGGATTCTCCGATCAAGAAAACTCTTGTTTTCAATAGTTCTATGGGAAGACATCAGAGTTGAGCATTACAGCACAGTCCTGAAGGATACGTGGCAGTGTGATTCTCTCAGGGCCTACCCCTCCTCGGGAGAACTTATCAGGAAAACAAGCAGTGAGCAGATACATACACCTATCAACGCTGCATAGGAGACGGCTCCCACGCCGAAGAGGAGTTGTTTTTGTTGAAGTGAATTATCCTAAGGACAGAAGAAACATTACTACATAAGGATACTTGTAAAACACTTGTAAGTCATGTTCAAAGTGGTCTTGTACAATTAAGATGATGCTGAAAATAAAAATCAACACATACCTCATCCTTTGTGGTGCCGTTTGCATTCAACACGGTGAATGCTGTGGTGTATGTGTGAAATGCAAACTGCAGGAAAAAGAAATTATAAGCAAAAACAAATTTGGGATTGAGACAAGAATATTTGTAAAAGTAGAAAGAACGAACAATTACCTGACACAAGAAAATTTGTTTGGCCTGCACCTGAAGCGATGAAGCGATAACCTAAGAGGAAAACCCCACAATAAAATTAATTTGATTAATTAATGAATCTAGGAGGTTTTGGTGAGCAGGGGTTAACTAGAAGATGAAGAGAACCGCTGTGTTACTATCTGCAGCAGTGTCAGGTAGGCTCCAGTAAGGGTTTCACTCAGCACCAGAAGCCATCTGCCTTGACTCTAGGCTAACACGTTTTCTTGACACAGATGTAACACATTCACTTCATCTATCCAATATAAAGCACAAAAGCACAGTGATCAAAACACCATGCGAGGTTATTCAAACAAGATGCTTTCCTACCCAAAATAAAAAATCTATTTGTTCCTGTGAAGCTTAAATAAAATAAAATAACTCATTTAGTAGACATGTAATTAAGGAAGTGAACAAGTAAGAATCTGATAGTTTTCACCAGTATAAACACTTGATCTAAGTGAGCTTAGCTTTAAGATTTCAGCAGTTAATTCCCATTAGTAGTTACTTCCAGTAACTTCAGTTATAAATGACAGCCTATCTTGAGGCCTGACCTCAAGGTATGTAAATCTCCAGGTATGAAGCACTCAAAGGACAGTGGCAATCAAGATATGACAGCTCTCAAATAAGAAACAGGGAAGACTGTTCAAAGCCTCAGAGGAGGGGCGGTCATTCTGTCAATACTAGTAGACCAGCTACCTCTATTATTAATGCCAGTGCTGAATCTAGCCACATCTGCGATGGAGTATTAAGCAAAATACTCCTTATTCAGAACGCTGACCTTCATGCATAAACAATCTGTTTGCATACTGCTGAAGGAAGGCAACTAACAGGTTTGAACTTCCAATGAGATTCCTTAAAGGCTCAATTTCTAGAAGGCTGCTCAGCACTTCCCATAGAACTGACATCTTTTAGAAAGCTTGTGCTGAAAATACAACTGAGAAGCCTAGAATTGTCCATTCTCTTCCTCCATCCCCTGGCTTTGGAAAAATAAAAACCACGTGGTACACTGGTATTTCCCCCAGTTACTCACCAATGGAAGAGTTAGTGGCAGGAAGGCTGAAGAGAAAGAAAAATTTTATTTCAGTAACAATAACTGCTGTGAGTCTAGATTGAAGGTTTCGAGCAGAAAGTTTTCCTAACTCCCCCCCTTCTAGTATCAGCTGTATATAAAACACTAGTCCACAAAAAAAAACATCTTTGCCAGACTTCTACTCCAACCTTTGTCTCTCATTCCTCATTCAAGAAGCCAAAATATCTGGCTTATAGCCAAAAGGACCTCTCAGGAACTACACTCAAAAAAGCTACATGGAAACTGGATGACTCTATGCAGAAAGAGTTATTGGCAACAAAGGCTGCCACGTCCGTGAGTGGCATACAAGGATATGAGTAAATGGCCTACCTATGCTTATAATTGATTAAATTTGGTATTGATTGTGCTGCCTCAGCTCCCTAACCATCACCCCAAGCAGACTCTACCTGCCACTACAGCAAGTAAATTCATAGAGTAACCACTTTCACCAAGTGAAAACTTAGCATTCTTTAGACTGTTTTACATGTGAAACAATTTGTGAACTAATTCTACAGAGCCAAAAAACAGAGACTGCTCAAACTACTTTGAACTAGCTGAGCAAATGAAGTGTGGGAAAAAATTTCAAGAGGACTGCAGGAATAAAAAAAAACTTTAACAAACAAGAGAGTGCAACTAACAGGAGTAACTGCCTACTTGTTTTCCATATGTAGAAGAGTATCACTGTCATATCAAGGAGGCTATTTACTATATGTCACTCTCCTTTGATGCTTCAGTCAATGGTTGTCTTAAGGGAACTTACCTGGAGGTCTAAAGAAACCAGGAATTATCTTGCCTGTATCAGGATGTATACTAGACTTAAAAGAAAAAAAAAAAAAGGGGGGGGGGGGGAACATGGTTAGACTACCTGTGCCATACTTAAATAAGGGGGGGGGGGGGGGGAAGGGAAAAAAAAAAGAAGCAGATTTCTAAATCTTTTGAAAACTTACCAGGCTTAGCAGGAAGGCTTTTTTTGTCTTAAAAAAATAAAAATAAAAAACATGTTAGCAATCAAGTTTCAAAAGAACCTAAATAAAATCTTGTTTCTAATTTATTCTATCATACATCTCAGTAAGCATGTTTCATATTTCCTACCTGTATCATCCTAGATGTGTACAGACAGACTTAGAGCAATAATTCCTGGAGTGATCTGAGGGTGTTTTTCAAACTTAGCAATATGATACTCAACCTAGCATTCCTCAGGATGATAATACTGACATTTGATAGCAGTCATCCAAAGAAATTCCTACCAGAGTCATAGCTAGAAAAATCTCTGTAGTGAAGAGTTTTGCTTGTGTTACCCCTCGTAACTGAATCTCAGTATTCTGTCTGCTAGATCTTACACTAATATCAACTACTTCAGCCATGAAAAAAAATAATAAATGTATAAGCCATGCTCCAAAATACCTGCTCATTCTGTATGGGCACACTTAGAGTCTTTTCACTGCTTTCAATCAGTACCCTGGTTCTTCTTATTTCATCCTGTATTAAAGGAAAAAAAAAACACACAGAATAAAAATATTCAGATGTCAATGGCCCAAAGTGTGATGTATCGGTTATCAGATGCTAATTGCAGACCTGTAAGGTCAAACTAATGCACCCATCCCTCACCAGAGCAATGAAAGCAAGAATGCAGCAGCACACAAAACCGATTTACGATCACAGGAACTTGTATATACATTTAAGCATACGAAAAACCTCAGTGAAATTAAGAGTATATTTAAAAGTCGGCTATGCCTGCTGGCAAATTCAAAGACTTGAATGGTTTACACCAAAGGGATCACAAACACAACGAAGCACCAGAGCAGCCTGCAGCTCCTTCCCCACACCACAGCCCCTGCAGCAGGAATTGAAGGGTGCCCCCAGGACAAGACCAGCACGCCCAGCTCTGCCCTTCAGTGCCCTTCTCCTTGGAGGCTCCCTAGCTCGTAACTGGGTTAATTCACGCGTAGGCGCTGAATTAAGACCCTGAACAGGACGGCTGAGATGTCGGTGCCCAGCAGCGCCTGGGTTTCACCCCTACACGCGGCCAAGCCACCAAAACGGGGGGCTCCCCCCTCACCCGCACCGCCGAGCCGGGCACCCACCGAGGAGGTGAAGAGCAGCAGCGGGTCCAGGACGTCAGCCCAGAGCAGAAACCTCTGGAAAAAAGACTGAAAAAACAGGGCTCAGGGCCACCTTCTCGCAGCCCCCCCCCCGCCTTCCCCTCGGCGCCTCACCGGGCCCTGCTCCCGCCACAGCCGCAGGTTGGTGTCCATGGCGCCGCCGCACCGGAAAGCGCCGCCGGGACCGGTCCGGCTGAGGCACGATCCGGGTGGGAGCCGGAAAGAAAGGGAACAAACATAAAACGAGGGTAAAAAGATAAATATAGTTTTTAAAATGGTGTGTCCCAGCCCCCCCCGGTGGTTCTACGTGCACAAACGGTATCAGAAGCGCGCACACGTTGCTCTCTGTGCTACCCAGCCCCACAGAGAACCTCACCTGCAGCAGGTCCAGGTTTGTTGAAAACGTGAAAACCTTTCAGCAGCTTTGTTGAAAACCACACGGCTGCGTGTGGATTGATACCAAACTGCACTAAAATGCTGGTGCCGAAAGGTATCTGCTGGTACTGAAACCTAACGTGCTGCCTTTCCTCCTGCAGCACCAGGCATCATGCGATGCCAGGCACGATTTTCATCCCATCATGTATATTGCAACATCCATTTCTATTAGAAAGGTAATTTAGCAAATAGCCACCTTTGCCAGCCTGGTTCCCTTATATTGACCTTTCCCCCGACTACCTATTTTATGAAAGATACAAACCCATTCAGCGTCATTTCAATTTCTCCAGCAGCACTGCCTCTTTCCTCCCACCACCCAGGACTGGCTGTGGCCTGCTCCCCCCTGCTCACAGAGGCAGCAGCAGCTTGTTGTGAGCAGAGGTACAGAAACTTGCAATGCAATACAACTCATCCAACTTCTACAGAACAGGGAAATGAGAATCTTTGAGGGAAAAGTGGAAGGAAAGGAATGCAACACATCTGCTGCCAGTCAATCTTAAGATTTATTGATGATGCCACAGCTGGAGATATGATACATTGTTTTCAAGCAGCACAATAATTGACATTTAAGTTTTCCCAGAGGCAGATTCACGCAGATAAACATGGCTTTAAGTGAAGCAAGACTGTCATTAAGCTCCAGTAAGTGCAGTATTAGGGTTTGAGTTTTTAACCATATCCTAATCCAAATTAAAGTTCTTGATGCTTGTTAGCGCTCCTGTGTAGCTACGCTGTATCTTTGACCATAGGCAGGATTGAAATGGCACATAATTACATTCAAGTTATAGTGCATTTGTACAAACAAACTTTAATTTTTGCATATTACATTCATCTCTTCCCCTGAAAAATACCATTAAAAATAACCTCTGCATGAAAACTCTGTTTTCTGTATTGTCCACGTGTGTTTTCAAACTTCTGCTACAGAAATGCCTTTTTTTCCACAAGAAAAGGTAACTGGGGAGCTTTCTGGTCCAAAGCTAGTTAAGGAAAGAGGAGAATCAGAGAGGGATCAGGGGTGGAAGTCACCACAATCACAAGCACACTGTGGAACGCAACTGTATTTCTTCTACCTGTCACATTCAGCAACACTGCTGGTTACAGAAATTTGTAAAACTTAAATTGCAAAGGGGGAAAAAAATCTTTAGTTTTTACCCTTCTTTTTAAAACAAGACAACTGAGTCTGTAAATATTTCAGTGTTTATTTTTTTTTCTTAACATGAGAAAATGAGAACTTATTTTTTCTACAATCACAGCTGCTTTCTTCATTACCCTATGCTGAAGACATTGAGTTTTGTCTGCATATTTGAGTGTTTATTTATGAACCTTTTCAAAATACTCTTTAGAACCTTCTGGGCTGGGCTTGATCTGTCAAGAAAAAGAAAAAAAGTAGTTATTATATGCTACGACTGAGATACAAAAAATATGGACTTGACATTTTATCCAAGAGAAGGCATGCATAGCTTATTAAAACACTAGGGTTATTTCTGTTTCTGCAATTCATTTAAAGTTCCTACTTGTAAATTAAGTACATAACACATTTTTCCTGATAAATATCACACAGAGCACTAAGGAAACAAAAAATCCAAAGACAAAGACAACCTGTACTACAGAGTCAAACTACAAGTCAAGAGTTTTAAATACAAACTGTGTTTTCTAGAAGAAAATCAGGTTCTTTCTTCACAGAAATCACATATAGTATCATACAAACAGACTGAATTGGTCTAACCAATAAAAGGTTTGGAAAGCAGAGTCAGATTCAGCCAAGCACCTCCCGTTAGAGTGGCTCTCAGCCCTTCGGACACGCAAAACCATGCCAGTGTCTATTTTTAGAACAGTGATATTTAGCAGACGCTTACTGTAGGGGAATCTGGAGTCCAGTTTGCTGGGCAAACCTCTCCATGCGTCTCCACGTACTGGAATGCTTTCACCAAGCGAAGGGTCTCTTCCACACTACGGCCGACAGGGAGATCATTGACACTTAGATGCTTGATGACCCCATTTGGATCAATGATGAAGAGACCTCTGTAATGGAGCAACAATGTGGGGAATGCAAACCATATTCCAAGACCAAACACACAAGAAACTGATGAACCATTTCAGCAAGGTCGTTATTCTCAGCTGCACACCTTAGAGTGAGGAGCAGCAACACCCCATTTGATATACTGTTTGTTAGTGCAGTGATCAAAAGCTAAGAGCCAGTGAACTGCTCTGGTATTCTGAAATTATGGAGCGTGCACAAAGACTATTAAATCAAGACAGTGAGATATATAACCAAGGTAAAACTTCTAATCCCATCTGTATTTCAAAGGTGATAGCTGGCATCCCTCCCATGTCTTTTTGATATGAAAAGCCAAATGTACTGAAAGAAGAGTTGCTTATGCATTAAACTACCAGGTTAATTTCTGTTATATATAAGCCATTGTGGAAACCAAAGTCCCAATCTCACCCTACTAATTAATTTAATTTGTTAACAAACGAATGTCTGAAGTTCCTTCCTAGCAAAGAAGCTGCTGTGTTTAGGAGGAGAAAAAAACAAAAACAAAAACAAACACCAAAAACCACCACAGCATAGATTAGGGCAACCTATAATTTGTTCTTTACTGTTAATCAGCACTGAATCAGAATTTTAAGCAGCCTTATGCAGACTTTTGCCACTCTTTCCTTGGAAAGAAACCAAATTAAATACTTTCCCCCCACACCCCTGCATGGCATAGAAAAGCCTTTCTCTGTCGAGTAGAGTTCTCCGAACGCTAAGAGTACAAGCTTACTTTGGGAACAACAGGCAGCATAAACCTTTTAATCCAAAGTGATTAAGAATCAAAGGTCTTCAGTAGACCCCTACTCAATCCCATATATATAAGGGACCACTGTTTATGGTATTTCCATGGTGGAAAAAGAAGCAACAGTTTTTCAATTCTGTGTAACTGTAGCGGCCTCTAGCTTTAGGAACTTCTCACACATAAGTTAAGAGAGTCTCTTACTCCTTCAGATGGGAGAGGGGAAAAAAGAGGGTGGGGGGAGAGATCCAGCAGAAGGTCCACAGGAGTAAGTGCATACAGCATTCATTTTGATCCCCATACAGTTTCCCTTGGAGGGAGAGACAGCGTAGCTCACTTTGTTTTAAACTGGGTTGTGTCTTAACAGTTATCAGCAATCATGCATTACCTCAGTGCTATGCCAGGTCCCTCTAGCAACACACCATAATCACGGGAGATTTGTTTTGTGAGGTCTGACAGAACTGGAATATTCATTTTGCCCAAACCGCCACTCTAGAAAAAAAGAGTAAGATTAGCAAGATTCCATTTTGCTAGCAAATGCTTTTTAGGGCCCTCCTTCTTGAGGCTGGATTCAGTGTTCCTGAAGGTATGCTACCAACAAACACCATTTTGTCCATGAAAGGATCTGCACGGGGAGTGATTTTAGCTTTTCTGTTGATGTCTTTCTTTAAAAAGCACTCATTTGTTTTTTTTGGAACATGAAAGCCTGCTTAGCATTTTAGAATTGCATATTTTGGTGGTAAGAGGTACCTGTGAAAACAGTGAAATTTTCAGATTTCCCTTGTATCCCATGTGGAAGCTTGAATACAAGAAATTCTGTTGCATATCTAAGTATTAAAAGTCAAACAAGATGAACATGGTGGGGAAGAAAAAGAAACCTTTATACTATAAACAGACAAAACACAAAGCTTCAATCAGCCATGCTCTTTATGTCAGTTAGGCTGCTCTCTGTATACAGTGCAGGTACTTTCTCCCCAAAACCAATTTAAATACTATTTGGAGAGTCAACCAAGATTGCTCTGAGTTTTGCAACACACTGAAACAGCAAGAGATAAGCTCTCTATCCTTGAAACAGGACTGGCATTTGTTAGCTTTTCTATTCCTGGCATCACCAGTGAATCATTGTGCAATCTCAGTCACATAGACCCTGATCTTGCAAACGCTTGCCTGCAACAAGGCTCTCACACAGAGCTTTAAAGGCAGATGCTGGAGAAACCAAGGCCTTAAGTCCTCTGGGTGTCAGTTTCCCATCTGCACCGTTATGGAATTCTTTCCACCCTGCAGAATGCTTCGCTCTGTGTGCATGACTGGCACATGCTTAACAACTTTCACATAAAGCAATGAAGGCAGTCCATAATCACATTTTAGAGCTTCAGTAAAGCACGCAGAAGATTAAATACTCTTGATTGGTTCAGCTAAACCACATTAAATTGAGCAAACTCTCCTCCCTCCCACATTACCGAGGAAAAGCCATGCATCCGGAGGCAGCCCAGTCCAGTCATGCTGAGCACCCCTATGGGCTGCTGTCCCCATGACCACATAGGCAGGAACTGATCACAGGGGAGTTGCAGCACCCTCCTGTGTCAGATCTGACTGTCTACAACTAACCAAGCTAGCGAGATGCTTTGTGATGGCAAAAGTATGCATTTTCACACACGTGAAAGAGGCTCCCTTCCTTCTCTATCACTTCCTTTCCCTGAAGAACAGACCTCCATTTGAACTTCAGAAGTGGAACCACTTCAGCAAATGAGGGTTAAATCTTACAAAAGCTCCATTAAGCTGCTTGTTCTGCTTCCATTCTGAAGTTACCACTGTCAGGTATCGGTTAACAGTAACTAAACCAGCTGCTATTCATTTTCTGTGACATTACACACGAGCCATCAGCTGTAACAAGCAGCTAAGGACTGTGACATATACACATAACATTTGTCTTTCAAGATACATGTATAAGATTCGATGTAACCTACAGAAATACTAAGAGAACAAAACAAAGATTAAAAAAAAACAAACAAAAAAACAAAAACAACTACAAATGATTAAGGAAGAGATTGACAAAACAAAGATAGAGGTCAGAACTGAATTACACCTAACGCAGAAGTTACTTAACATATCACCATAGGCAGTATATTTATTAAAGTCAATGTTTGCATAATTGTTTACACAACTCTTCTTCTCGGGAGCTCTTATGAAAAGAAAACAATCCACCAAAGAAAGCCCCAAACAGCTGCCCAATTCATACCTTTCGTGGTGTATTTATCCAGGCCAGATGGCAAAAATGGGAGTCCACAGAAACCGCCACCACTTCACAGTTCACATCACGGAATTCATTTGCTTTATTGCTGAAAGCCACAATTTCTGTAGGGCATACAAAAGTGCTGGATGGGAACAGAAAGAGAGCTATAATGATTCAGCAACCTTTTGCTGGCTTTTAAGTAAAGGCCCTTGTGCATCTGTTTATAGGCAGTAATGCAGCAACACATTTTATTTAGCTCAGAAACTTTGACCGTGCTTTCTGCTTAGCTCCATTGAGACTTGAGAAACTGCAGGGGACACCCAGCTGGTGTTTTCCACCACCATTTTTCAACTAGCAGCTCTCGGCAGAGATATTTATGCTTGGAAGAGGAAGCACGGCAGGTTAACCCTCCCCACGTGCCCACGTGCAGCAGAGTTTGGCAGAACAGCCGGGATGCTCTGTCAGGACGATTCACCCCTTCAGGACAGGATTTGGCACCAGCAAGGCCCTGACTACCCCTGAAGCACTCCCTGCAGCTCGAAGATGCTCTCCAGCCACCAGCTCTGTTGTTTTAGCAGCTGATGCCCGTTTGCCCCCACGCTTTATCAATCACATGAAAAAACAGATTTGCTTTGCAAAACCAGCCTGGGTATAGCAGAAACAAACACCACAGACAGCACAGATCCGCAGCGCTCCTGATGACCTTCAGCAACGCTCCTTCAGCCCCAAGCGCCCGGGGAGCACCCAGAGGCTCATTTTACCCCCCCGGGGCACTCACAAATCCAGCGGATAGAAGAAAAGAACCAGGTATTTCCCCTTGAAGTCATCCAGGCTCAGCTCCTTGAACTCCCCGTGGACCACGGCCGTGCCTTTGAAGAACGGGGCGTGCTGTGTGACCGCTGGGGCCAACCGGGAGGCGCCTGAGGGGACAGAAAACCATGGGGGGGGGCTGCTCGCAGCCGGGACACCGAGCCCGGGGGGGGGGTCCCGCGGGGTGTGCCCTGCGCTTACCCAGGCTGAGCTGGCGGTGGGCGAGGAGCTGGGGCCGGCCCTGCAGCCTCCTCCCGGCGGCGGGCACCTGTGAGGGGACAGGCAGGGGGTGAGGGGGAGGCGGCAGGGAGCGGACAGCGGGGGGGAGCCGGGCGGCCGCGCACTCACCGCGCTCCGCAGGAGCCTCCCCAAGGCAGCGGCCATCTTGTGCGGGAGGGAGCGGGGAAGGAGGGACCGGGGAAGGAGGGAGGCGGGCGGTGCCAGCCCCCAGGCAGGAGGAGGAGGTGTCCCCATGGAGGCTGCATGGCCCCGGGGGGGTGTTTGAGGGTGGGCAGAGCGCAGGGAAGGGTGAGGAGGGGAGGGCGCGGTGCCCGCGCTCGCCGCCGGGGTGTGAGGGGCTGAGGTGGGGCTCGCCCCGTTACCCGGCTCTGTGGTGCAAAGTGGAGCGTGGGTCGAGCTAAAACACTTCAACAATAAAGTTTTCTGACGGCTTTTTGATGAACTCATGGTCGGATTGTAGTTGTTTGGTCAAAAATCCTGTCACTAGTCCAGCGCAGGAGTGGTGGGTGTGTTGTGGGAGGGAGCGCGCCTGGTGCAGGCAGACCTCTCTGCTTCCCTGGCGGTGGGAGCTTCGGCCAGCCTGCTGTGTAACACTCATATTTATAAATATCCACAGCCTTTTATGAAGGGAAGATCCCACCTTGTGAGGTAGGGAGAGTTCTGACTCCACCAGCAGTTACAGCAGCTGGGGGCAAGGCCAAAGGCAACCAAGGCGATGCCAATGAGCGCCTGGAAGCTCTGTGGATGCTGCCTCTGTGGCTCCGAACACGTTAGCAAACTTATTCCTGGTACCCATCCAGCTGGTGTGGTCCAGTCACCTCCATAAACCAACTCTCCAAGCATTCAGAAGTGGCAGGTTGAGCACAAGTTGCTTGTTAGGACTGGATGTTAGCCAGTATTATCTCCCTGATGTGCCTAGGAACTGTGTGGGACAGTGTTAGTTGGTGTCATTCAAAGGCACACCGGGCACATTTCTGTACATTTACTGTTATAGACACACCAGTTTCAGTTCCTTGTGACTTTCTGTGGCACTTCGGAATTTATTAATACAGATGATGCCAAAAACAGGTGGAAATGTGGCTCTGGTAATCACGAAATCTCTGCCCAGCAGAGTATAATGTTACCTACTCATATGGCACAGAGATGTTGGGCAGCTGTCAGCTTGAGATGAAGATGGAGGTGCCCAAAAGGAGACGAATAAGATGAAGGTGTTCTGCACAAGGGTGTCAAGGATGAACTGTTCCTTCCTATAGCCGTGGTGAGAAAAGGGGGAAGGAAAATGTGGACAATTAGGGATGTGGATATCTCAGTACAACGTCCACCAGCATGATAGTCTAACTGCTTCCTGCATCCAGTAATTTCCTTGAATTCAAGCATACATCACTACTGCTTTTGATGTTGCAGCTGTTCTCTTCAGGCTTAGCACCTCCTAACAAAGCCTTGAGAGTGTATTTGAGAATGTGTGCAGAGGTATGAACAAGTGGTCACTAAAACAGCATATTCTGAGTTAAGGAACCTCACACATTCCTTTCTTCTCATTAGCGTTTCACTAAGGGAAACCTGAATGTGTTTGAGCTCAGCTTTGGCTCCTGTTGATGAACTAGGGCTGCTTGAAAGTACCAGCCGGACAGGGACTCCGCTGGGAAGGTGGCTGTACAAGGGGAGCCAGCTGGCTGAGCTACTCAGCTTATTTGCATGTCTGTTACCTAAAAGTTTGGGGCATTCTTGCTTTAAAAACTCTCAAAGCCGGAAAGTGGAAGTGAGTAAATTATTTCCATGTCAGAAAATACATCATATGCGCTGTGGGTGAGCTGTGCTTTAGCCTGCAGCCCTGGGAGCCCCCAGGAAGAACAGCAGATGGAGAGGGCAGGAGCAGTTGTCTGCACACTACAGCCTGGGGAGATTTTAGTGCCACTGCTGAGACACCGTGAGGGCTGCCAGCAGAAAAATGAGCAATGGAGCTGAGCAAGGGTCACCTGCAGGGCAACGACCAGCGAAGACTGGCCAAGAAACCTCAGCCAGTACCTGGGCTGACTCCTCGAGCAGCCGTGCAGATTGGCACGTCTGTGTTCACGTCTGCTGGAATGGCACATCCCTCTGCATCAACAGACCAACTCGCCCAGCAGCAGCTCCCCTGAGGCTGGGCAGCAAATTGAGTTAGGGATACGGTCAGGCCATAGCAGTTCCTTTCCCTCAGCTGTGGGAGCTGTATTGTAGCAGCAAAAAAAAAAAAAAAAAAAAGGCTATTGCTAGGATTTCCTGAGGATGGTTGTCTCACCCGCAGATGATTATTCACAATTTCTCAGTTGATATTTTTTAAAACGGTGTCCTTCCCCTCTCCCTGGAAAGTTATATTTGTTTAAAACTCTTTGTTTAAACACTTGGCTTGCAGGTGGGGAAATATTGCTCATGCTTTGTTATGAAGGCAGCATAATTCAGTTTCCCAGACTTCTGGGCAAGAACTTGAACTACTGCCATTTAGCACAGGGGTTTATTTTCCATTTTGCTTTTTACTGGGCATCCCTAGGATTTGAAGGTGGACTTTTTCTCTGCCAAAGCGCACCTGGCAAAAGAGTTCTGCTTTTTCCTCAGCAGCACTTCTGGGGCACACCGGAGCAGCTGCTAAACCTGGTTCTGGCCATCTGTAATTCCAAATGGATTTACCAAGTGGTACCACATGCTCATCTTTCTCTGTATCTCGTTGATTTTCTGCTTTGCTGTGTCACTGTACACTCCTGAAATCAGGATACACAGTGTTGCTGAGACTCCGTGATGGAAAACAAACAAACAAAAAAATAATATCAGGGAAACCACAGGCCCTAATCTTGCATCTCCTCCTGCAGTGGCAGACTGCTGGTGCATAATGGTGCAGTGAGAGATCAGCAGTGCGTGTTAGTGTTTGAAGGATTGGAGTCTTTAAATTCAATTCAAAGACATCTGAAGTCTGTGAAAGACTTCCCAGGAGTTCAGCAAGCTTTAGCAGAGAATTTTGTGTCATTACAAGGTGCTGAGCAGGGGCTAAAGCACTTGAATGGATAAGAAGAGATGTAAATTCAATTTTTGGTTATGACACCTATCTGCCTGCTCTCACTTAGTGCCTTTTTCCCTATCTGTGAATAATTGAATTTGCCTTTCTGGTAAAACAAAAAAAAAACAAGCATAAATAAAAACACCACAAACAAACAAGAGCTTTGAGATCTGTTGATTTAAGAAGTACTAGGTACTACTTGTATATTGCTACCATTGTTGTTTGCGAGGTTAGTTTTTAAAGAGCTGTTTGGAAGATCGTCATTAGTGCAACAAAATGTTAGTGGAAAGGTAGCTTTTCTCTCTGAGCTTGATGAATGGGGTAAGGAAATCCTAAAACAGATCTCCTGCTGCTGTGGGCCGTTGAATGTCAGATTCTGTGCTGCTAATGGGATGTTTGTTTAAAAAATAAATTCTGCTCTCCTAGAAGATTATTTCATTCCGTATGGTTAAATGCTGTAACAATCAATTGTCCTCTACTTTGAGGAAATAGATAACTGCAAGAAAAGGGTTGGAAACGGAGAGAAGCCACAGAGGCAGGAACATTTTCACCTAGAGCAAAGGAAAAAGTTAGGTTTCGAGAACACGATGCATCACCCCGTGGCTGTTGGTAGATGGCAGCCTCTGTCCTTCCGCACAGGGCTCCGCTCAAGGCTGCAGCTGCCTCCTCGTGGGCCTGCATGTTCCCACCTGCTGATGCAGCATCTCAGCGGCAGGTGACAAAACGAACCCTCTGTAGGGCAAGTTTCAGGAGCAATTCCAAACACAGCCCTGTTCTGAGGTGGTCACGAAGAAACTTTACAGCATTAATTCCGTGCTGGAACATGGATGTAGGTGATAGCTTCTGTTAGGGCATGTTTCCAAGCGATAAGAAGGAGGCAAAACCCTTTCAGGCATCTGGCTCACCTGGGATCTTATCCTGCCCTTTCAAGCAGGCTGTGCTGCGGCCGAGCCATCTCTGTGGGGGCAGGATAACGCTGGGTGTGCTGTGCTCTGCTTCTGGCCGGAGCTGCAGGAGCCCACCCTGCCGATGACTCATCTGTCAGAGCCGCTCGCAATCCATCGCCCGCCGCTCTGCTGCCTTCCTCTTCGCCTTGCGCTGATGCATTCGGGGCTCGCACGGTGCTGGCATTTCATTTACAAACCTCTCTTCTCCCATAAAGGGAAGATGGCTGCCAGCCCGGCTTCGCCCTCGTGTTCGCCACTCAAAAAGTGCTTTCCTGAGCCACTCTCGAATGGCTTCCAGCGAAAGATGTTTTATTTACAAGCAGAATAACCAAATGCATTAAGCACCATAGAAAACACATCTTTCAATTTAACCGTTTTTTTTTTTTTTGTAACCTTTACTTTTTTATTTTTCTTTCCAAATTAGCTGCTTCTGCATGATTCAAACCCATTTTTTATCCTTTGCTCCCACAACCGCTGAATCAGGGTCCTTAGGCCTGAAAAAAAAAAGACCTGCCTATTTCTTACCTGCTACACTGCCTTCAAGTCCATGCTCGTGTATTTGAGCACCAGAGTTTGCACCAGTGGATAGAATAAGATAAGCAGTAGAAGAGACTCAAGGATTTCCTGATAATGAAGAGTTTCTTTTCCCCTCGCTCACAGAGAACCTGACAGCTCCATTGCATGGGGTGTGGACATGGCCTAAAATTAAAGGGCTGAGTTGTTGAGAGAAAATTCATATAAATAAACGTTTTTCTTTCTGATATTTTGCTGTTGTAAGAGAAAATTGATATAAATACATGTACCTTTTCCTAATTTTTTTTGTTGCTGTTTTTGTGACCCAGGTGTTCCAGGTGGCACAATGATGAAGATGCCCACGGCCTTAGGAAAGTCATAAGGCAAGGCTCCAAATGCTCTGGTGGCTTCTGCAGAGACAAACACACGGACTTCGGGTCAAGTAGGTCTGCGCAGGGCAATTGATCTGGCAGTCCTTAGGGAGCCACATCCATGAAAGGGGCCATCCATCAGAGCCCCGTGCTGAAGCAGAGCTCTGTCATGTAGCAGTGCTATATTCAGCTTTTAGAGTCTGAGCTAGGAAAGGGATGCAGCCAGGATGGGATGCCTCGATTTGTTTTTCAAAGCAGGCATTGTGATAACGAGCACAACTCCTTCTTGTTCTAGGGCACCAAACTGACTCAGATGTGTTGGAAACAAGTTTTATTTTCTCAGT